CTAACTAGTGGTAGCTTCGTCGTGGTAGTTTCGTCGTCGTCGTCGTCGCGGTGGTGGTGGTGGTGGTGGTGGTGGTGGCGGTGGTGGTGGTGGTGGTGGTGGTGGTGGTGGTGGCGGCGGTGGTGGTGGTGGTAGGAGGAGTCGTCATGGTGGTACGTAGTGGTAGTGGTAGCGGCCGTGGCAGCGGCAGTGGTAGTGCTTCACCAGCAGTAGTGGCATCGGTAATGTCAGCATCAGTACCAGTGTAGCAGTCGTCGTTCTCGTGGTCCCCCTCCGCCTCCTCCTCCTCCTCCGTTTACTTTCAGTTGTGCTGGTGGTACGGCATGCTGGCGGAAGGATAGTGGCATCATCCTCTGCTGAAACTTCTTATTCATTCAGTAACTACACCGGCATGAACTCATCGCGGCGCTTGTTGCTGTTATGCTTGGTTTTGCTACCATAGCTGCGGTTTTGCTGACACTGCTGCTACTGCGCCTCCACCCGCTCACACTAGGAAAGACTTGCAGTGGTGTGTCTTCACGGTGGAAGGCAAGTTGTGCGGCAACATTTTGTGAAATCAGCATCGGCTGTCGGTCTGCAAGGTGGCAAGTGCTCAAGGAATCCAGGAAGACACCTTGCAGCCTCGGCCATTGCGAGAATCTCTTCTATCATTTGCGCGTGACAGAGCTCTTGGACATCGGGGCTATTGACGGCTATTGTATACAGACTGTATACAGGTACTCGAAGACACGCCCGTTGCTGCGACCAACCCCAGAGTTCTCTATGTTGCGTTTGTGGCTGTGTGCGGCAAGCAAAACTTGTGGCTTGCAACTAACGGCCACCAGCACTACCCGACCTCCTAGCCTTATCTGGGTACCGAAGGTTCTGTCAAGGCCAGACCGAACCCGACTGCCTAACATCCTCATACAAAAAATAAAATCGATCGACTCCGGCCGTCTGGCCTAGCAGCGATGCTGCGGCCACTTCAAGCCACCTCAAACAGACACGGATAGACACGGCGGCGAACCAGCTGGCAGCTGTTGCAATTGTCTCGATCTTAGTCGCAGTCTTTTCCGGGTTCAGCCCAATAGGTCGACGATACGATACCGATAGGTTAACCCAGGACGATCTGGAACATCCTGTCAATCCCGAAAAACCGCGTGTCAAATTCTCTGTCTTGCACACCCCGAAACCGCGAAGCTCCGCAACAAAGATGCAAAGAGCACGAAGGGAATTGCGGAAGCAATAGAGACTGGAGCTCAACGCTCAAGGGTTCTGGCAAGCCTCACCCACTGCATCGCGGACACCAGCTGGAGGACCTCAGGCAAATGATGTAGCAGCACAGAAGCAGCCCGGGCAAGAAGCCTGAAAGTAGTTCGATTGTGGGGCTAGCAACCCCTCGTCTGGTTAGCATCTCACAGAACAGATTGTCTGGGTTCTCAGAACTGCCTCTCCCACCAATTGACACGAGGACGGCTGCAAGTCGCCAAAGATCAGTCGAACGGGAAACATTGGCCAAAACATGCTGCAGTGAAACTCAACCCCAGCGTAATCATGGCACATCGAAATTGAATCAGCGTTGCCGTACTGGCTTTGCCTCACCACTCAAAAACTAAGCCTTCTGGTCATAATGACTCCTTCTATAGCATTAGTAGTATGCGCGAACGAGCTGTTGCCTCGCACGCCCGACAGCGGCGAAAGGCGGCTTCAAACACACACATGCGCAAACATCCACACACAAGACAACAAAAACAAGTCTGTCTCTGCCTTCCTCTGTTGCCTAATTCCTCCATGCTCCTCAGTTCCGACCCCACGCAAGCCCAAACGATGAAATAGCGGTGTCAGTATGACACCCACATCATGCGTGTAGGCTAATGACAGAGAGAGAGAGAGAAAGAGAGAGAGAAAGAGAAAAAGAGAGAGAGAGAGAGAACGCATACACGAAGCAAGTACATCGACAGCTTTCAAATCCAGCAACCAATATCTCAACTGGTCTACTGCTTGACAAACAATCCGCCTTCCGTCTGCAGCAGAGAATTGGTTGCGGAGTCTGAGGCTCTAGCCACAGCTGATTGCGAGTCGAGCCGAAATGCTGCCGGTTCCAAGTCTGTAAGAAATGCACTCAGTGGAGACTGTGCATTGCGATGTTCTGCACCATTGGTCGGAGTTCATGCTAACGGGAAGGCTTATCGTCTCCTTCCAAGATGCGGCGAGCCTGGATTTAAAAACACTGGGACTGCCTGGTGATTTCGTCGCCAACCCGCCAATCACCTCTCCACCTGCACCCCACATGTAGACACGGCCCATCGGCTTCCGGTTCTGTTGGCTCGTGGACGTCAGGACGACTCATCAAGCTTCCTTCTTCTGCTAAAAGGGCTGCAAAGTTGCAAAAAAGGTTCTTTTGGCAGATCGATGCGTGGCAGTGACGTGGCCAGTCGGCAATAGCACCTTTTCAAAAAGGCGCTGAAACAGTGCCGAGGGCAATGGTACGGAAATGTCATCAAGAGGGATTGGCAAAGCCTGTTGAACCATCTTGCAACGAATCTTTTATGCTGGAGGGACATGCTGACAATCCCTCTGAGAAAAAGGAGGCAGTGCCTAAGAGCAACTGCCGTCTGACTCTAGGCCGAGGGCCGTCCAATGAACGGCGAACGGTGGCAGTTACCGCCCCTTCGGGAACGTGTACGTGCCTGCAGCCTTTCCTGAAGAAGGGCTCTGGGATTTGTTGGGCAAATCCAAAACCTGCCTGATGAATTCTGGTTCAGGCAGCAGCTTCGCCAACGACCTCTTCAGTCACAGCTGGGATCCCTCCCACTAGTGATCAATCGATGCAGTCCATGCCTGCCTGTGCTTGAACGATGACCGGTGCTGGCACAGCTGCGGGTGTGAAGGCAAAGCTTTGTCCTGGCTACACAGCAACATCAAGTCTTCTCAGTTGAGCCTCGAATTTGAAGCAGTTTGAAGTCTACTTCAGCGTGGCATCTCTGACTGCAATTATGAAGCGAGACAGTCCAGGAGAAACTCCGGGCGGGACGGTCACACTTTGGATGCCGGTGGGGGTTTGTACCTGCAGCGTCGCACCTGCCGAGGGCCGAGCGTCTGGAAACAGAAGCTGGATATAACAGAGCAGGCATGTAATTTGGGCTGTGGACGCACCCCCAGCAAGCCTGCACTGACCCCTGCGGGCACAGTGACCGTGATGCTCTGCGCAGGCGCCATGCCCACCACGCCGGAAGCGGAGGAGATGCAAATGACCCGCATGGTTCGCGCATGCTTGGGCTTGCACGGGCCCGTCCACATCGTTCGATACTCCGCGGTGAAGGAATTGTTTGTTGCGATTCTCAACTCCTCGCACGCCATCCTTATCGCGTGGTCCTGGGCCGCGTTCAAGTTGCAGATCAGGACGCGGCCACCGAAAACTGTGCCAACCGCCAAGAAGACGAAGCCAATAGAGATGAAGTTGGTCACGCCGAACCCCGTATCAGTGCCGGCATTGGCAAAAGTGAGGATGGCATTGACGAACGGAAACAAGGCGAAGACAAGGCCGAGGAAAGGCAATCTCTCATCCCAGTACCTGACTCGCAAAACTGACAACAACAGCCGCTGTTCCACACCTGGACGACATTCAGGGAATCAACAAAGGCTTGGCTCCGAAAACCTCTCAAGACTGAAGGAGAAGGTCATCCCGATCACTGTTCGGCAAGTCACCTGGCACATGTGTCGCTGACCTTATTTGCGAAGCCCTTCCACGCATTGTCCGGCATACCCGCAAGCATAGGTGGCTTGGCTGAGTCCTCACCAAACGAATCAAGCGACGTTCTTACTGTCATCCTCTATAGGACGGGAGAATCCCCACTCGCGAACCTTCGACTGGCCAACAATGGCATGTGCTCTGGATCGAAACTACAGCTGTCCTCTCACTACGCACAAAATCGCATCACAGCACAGTGCCCCTGGCAGCTTACTCCCCCCAAAGTGAGTGCCCGGATCCTTCGCCTGAAATTCCCTAGCCTGCCATACCTAGAGAATCCCGACCCGTCTCCTTGAAGGTCGGCTTGCCTTGCAAGCACTCCTCGTGTCAGGTCAAAACCGAGTGGCTTCTGACATAGACTGCAGCAGATACTAGGGCACTATAAGGGCTCAGGCTCAGATCAGATCAAATATAAAAGAAATCACATCCTGAAAGCACCCCGCTCAGTCCTGCGGATCCTGCAAAGTGATCAGCGCCCCGCCGGGAGGGCAGTTCATGTTGTAGGAGCTCGCAACGCCCATGGCTGAACTGGGGGCGCAAGGCAAGTCGCAAAGAGCTTTGCAGGAGACCTTTTGCTCTCTCTCTTGGGCCAATCTGGGGCAGCCCGAGTTCCGAAACTTCGCGAAGTGAAACCATCTGTTCGAGAATTGCAACAACTGGCACGGAGTCCATTTCTGCATCGTTTCGTGGCCCTTTTCCTGAAGGAGTCCGCAACAAGCTCTTGAACTCAGCTGGTTGGGCTGGAAATGCTGGAACACCTGCCACGAGGAGTCTGCTTTGCTCGGTTTCTCGCTCAGGTGGGTGCAGTCGCCATGCTCGACTGATTATCTGGTCCAAAGATAATGCGCAAGTTGCGGGCGCCTCTTCACAGCAATCACACAGCAGCGGCGCACGATTCCGTCAAGATGCCTCTTTTTTAGGACTCATCCATTGCCGCTCTTGGGACACATGCTCTCAGCTAGAAATCCTAAACCCTAAACCCTTTTGCAGCAGGCTCCTCTGGGCGAGAAACCCTAAACCCTAATCCTTGACCATCTTTTACAGCCGGGGTCCGCTCCAAAGGAAGCCCCAGGGCGGGAGCCCGAGCCCGAGGGCCCGAGCCCGTCAAATCTGGCTGGACACGGCCAGATGCGCAAGTCCTACGGTGAAGGAAAAAGAAACCTGATTCCTAAGCCGAGTGCTCCCTTCTTTGGAAAATGAGTCCCTGGCAAGGAGCTCCAACTGCAGACTGTCTATGTTCGTGCGGATATCCGATTTTAAAATTCGGTTTCACCCGTGGTGTGAAAATGTATCACTTCCGGCTGTCCTCGCCAAAGATTCCAAATTGAAAGCTCCCATCTACTTCGCCGAAGCTGATCTACTCTCCTGGCAGTGAAAGCCCTGCTAGCATGTATACCAAGGCTTGAAAGCCTGGCAAGGGCTCAGAGAGAGCCTAGGAAGAAGCGCGATGCCTTGTCGCCTCTGGTTGTGTTTCGGAGAAGCTACCCGGTGTGCTTCCTTTCTTATTGTCCGCTCCTGTCTGACCGTGAGAGCGCATCTTCCGCAGCAGAAGGGCTATCATGCCGGTTGCGCTGTTGTCTCCGACCTCAGCTGCAGAAGAGTCACGCCACGCCCCTGTGACGACATGCAACCCCTTGGCCGAAAGTCCGTCTATACGGCATTCTGACTTTGCCCGCTATCGAGATCTTGTCTCAGTACTCCTCCCCCTTTTAATGCATGTCAGCCGTGACTGCCTACCTTGGCACGTTTGGTAAAAACCTGCGCAACGCAAAAGCCTGCCCGGGCCTCATCCAGCACCACCGAGGTCCGAGGGCGCCTCATTGTGCTCGACAACGGAACAACCATTGAGTTATTCGGTGATAGGGCAGCTTTTGCAGCTTGGCCTTTACAGCTGTTATCGGGGACTATGTCAGCACCCTTCGCACTTGAACCTGCACATGTCTGATCTTGAGCTGTGGCTGCTCGCTAAGCTTACCACAAGATGTGAGACACCTCAACTCAAACCGCCCAATCGATGCATTCGGGCAGCCTGGAGCTACACCAATCAAGCCTGCGGAGCAGTCTGTCTCTCTGGTTGAAAACAGCTGCAAAGAATTTAGAAGGTTTCGACTCTCACACTCGCCCGAGGCTAGAAAGGCTTAGCGTGTTTCAGTACTGCAAGTCCTCAGTGGTCCTGCTCGCCTGCAAACACCTGTTACATGTGCTTTTCTGGAATCTTAACACACCCCAGCAGCAGCAGCAGCAGCAGTAGTAGTCGTCGTCGTCGTCGTAGTCGCCGTCGTAGCTGTAGTCATAGTCGTAGTCGTCGTGCGAGTAGTAGTAGCAGTAGTAGTAGTAGTAGTAGTAGTAGTAGTAGTAGTAGTACTAGAACTAG